GACATTCAACAGCCCTATAGGAAAAGGTCAGAGACAATAATCTCTACCAGCTTGGGAAAAAACAAGATAGGAAGTGTCTCCATAAGGTTAAAGCTTTTGTTGTCCCCTCTGAGGAGAGGGAAAGCTACTACAGGCTTTTCCAGACYTTATAGCCTCTCTCCTTCACCCCTGATCTAGTGGAAGTGGTACTTTCTATGATCCCTATCTGAACACAAGCCCTAGCTTGGAATAAAAATCAGGTCTGACTCCCTGCTGTACTCCAGAGACTTATTTACCACCTTGAAGAGATAAGCATGTAGCTGATTAAGTTCAGTCTCCGTGCATAGTCAGTTCCTTCTAAGGCGGGTGATAAAATAGCAGGAACCAGATGGGGATTGTGCCTGCTGGACTAAAATGACTGATATTCCAGATTGCTTCCCTCCTCTCTGGGAACKCAAAGGCAGCATCCTTCAGAGTAGGACCTGCTATGGAAGCAACCAACTTGSATTAAGAGCATGAAAGCAGCCTTTTGAGATTGGTTTCCTAAGGGAATAAGGTCTATGTTCTCATGGGTTGTGCATGTGTTAAACTTGGTGTGCCCTCACATTGCTGTCCRGCAATGCTGAAACCTGTTCGTCTATTTCAATTAAATTTGATAAATTTCACAGCTAATTAAGTTCCTGAGGTAGTAGGCAGCCAGAGGAAAGGGACCTTGTAAATATTCTGCTTCAGGAAAAGGGTGCACTGTGCACATATTAAACTCTGGGGAGATCACATGGGAAAAAAATACATAAAAGTATTCATCTGAATGAAAAGCTTCTGTGAGAACTCAATTTTTCAGAAACAGAAATCTATAGGGGCATATGGTTCATTCATTCTGCACCTCACAAACTACTTTTATCTTGTGATGTATATGGGAGGAAAAATTATTTAAATTTAGGAAACATTATAAGGAAACACTACAACCTAAGATTCAGTGCATCTAGTGGATCTAGCAGATTTAGGAACTAGGATTCAGCAGTCAATTTGTTGTTGGCATCCTGATTGTAACAGAAACCAGCCCAAGCAGACAGGAGATTGCAGCTCCTGAAATCAGACACGGTTCTGAAGAGGGCTAAAGAGAGGAAATGTGGAGGTGCAGGGCACATTATCTGTGGGGAAATATTGGGGTTCCCAGGGTCCTTCCATGTGGCTCAGAGTAGACGGGTCTAACTGTAGACTTCAATTATTTCTGGGAGAGTTCCAAAGAGAGTGGAAGCAAACTCTTGGTAGTAACAGATGGTAAGAAAAAGGCAGAGAATGGATAGAAGCTGTGTTCAGGGAAACCCAGGCAGGACATATGGTGAAATTTCTTCATAATGTGCATATGACAGCACTGGGCACAAATAACTGAAAGAAATGGTAGAGTCTCCATCGTGGAAGGTTTCTGACTCTCATGTAGGCAACAGCACTAATTCCTAGCAGGAGGTTGGACTCGAGACTTCCAGAGGTCCCTTCAACCACCACTTCTGTGATCCTTTGACTTGTGTCCAGATGATGATGSAAGGAAACAGTTTGTATGTAAAGCTGTCAGTTATACAGTGGCAACTTTTATCTCAACTTTACCAGAGGACATATGAGCATATTCTTTGTTCAATTCCTTGTATAGAAAAATGGTTTTATTAAGGTATTTGTGATTATTATTTGCTGAGTATAAATAATACAACTTATTTTGTACTGTGTTAAACTTGTGTCAGACACATCTTATGCCTCGCTGTACCAGACCTATAGCATTATGCTATAGATTGTTTTCAACCAGCCCMGATCATAAGAATTTATGGAGGTATYAGCAGACCATGGATGACTGTCACTGGTTTCTCTAAGTCTCTTCTTGCATAGATTATTAAAAAAATATAAAAAAGCCTTTTATATATGGGTCTTTTGAGGCCTCTTGCAACTTACTTTTCTGGATCGTTAATGTCTGCAGGCCATATACTTCTGTTAACTTTTTGAGGTAATGTGTTCAGATTCAGGCAAGTTTWACAATTTCATCAGAATTAAAGTATGCTTAGAGCACACTGAATTATAGTTCAATTAATTTTCCATCCTAATTAAATGGAAGACTATCMTATCACTGACAAGTCTTTTCTGTGTTAAATCTATCCAGTTTCAGGTATGAAGCAGAGAATAACTTATATGACTAGAAGACAAATTTGAGATGCTGTGTGCACTGCATGAGATACTGGCCAGCTTCACCCTGGACCTGTAGCCATGGCAGTGCAATGCTGCCCTATCTCAGCAGTTCCTACCCAGCTTCTCTGTACAGCCACTTGCTTCTACCTACTAGCTCAGCCGAGCACACAGCATAATAGAGGAGCTTAAGTGCACCTTAGTACAATCTGTAGAAATATCTGCTGTGGAACAGCGAGGAAAAATGTCAACAAACTCTCAAAGAAAGGAAAAATACCTAAGATCAGAATCATTCCAGCAGCAGGCACTACTTTAGGGACTACCTTGTCCGTAAGTTGCTGCTTGGCTGGWATGGAGAGGCCATGCAGTAAATCAGCCTTGGGCACTAACCAGCATTCCAGTTTATACCACCGAACTTTTCCAGCACAGTACTCTCAAGAGGACTGAAAATGTTTAGTTTGTGCAGGCAGCTTCCTCTTCTGCTTCCAGTATTCATCCCATTGCACTTTTGTTCTCATTTAACTGGAGATTTATTTTCCCTTTATTCTTGATTAAAAAGGCAGTAATTGTTAGACAGCTAACTTTATCTATTAAAAAAAAGCAGTAATTGTTGGACAGCTAACTTTACAGATCACATAATGAACAGTGTACATGTTGTAAGCAATGTGCTTCACTTCCAGGTGGCTTTGAAATAAACACATGATTATCTTCYTGGTAATCAACACATTACATAGATTTTCTTGCAGAATTGGTCCAGATGTCCTCTTCTTTCCTTCCTCTCCATCAGAGAAATTAAAARCTACAGAGATTATCTCAGCATGCACCTATATGAACACAAGCAATTATTTGTGGCATCTATAGATACAAAAATTTGATCATTGCTATGAAAAAATCCTGTTATGCCATCACAAATCCAAATGCAGTGCAATGTCATACTCACACTCTGAAAGCTGTGTGGAGTAGGTMAGTGCTTCCTGAGTGTATCACTAGATGCAGCCCCATTCCCTGCCTTCTTCCCAGGAGGACCTACTGCCTCATTCAAATTACATTCTGGAAGCACAGTGTGCAGAGCCTGCAGAAGTTCTGTGGTTTACTCACTTGTACTCCACTCTGCTGTGGTCCCAGAATCAATGATSTGGCTAGGCTCACAGTTCAGGAAATTCTCTCTTCTTTATGTTGTTTCTCTTGGTACATGTTTGCTTTTTTTTTTTTCCCAGGGTCACCTCCTGTACATCCATTTCTGGGTCACACTTTTATTTTTCTGGGTGTCTAATACAGAATTAGACCAGGGCTGTCTCACTCGCAATGGCATTAGAAAAAAAGCTTGACTGCAAGTCAGTAACTCAGCAAATTCTCATCTCAGTCACATCTAAACATAACGCTTCAATGGACCAGGTACTTCTCATGACCAATTGCTATCAGTAGTTTGCAGCATATTGTATACTTTTAAATTGCAGATGATAAACAGTATGGTTTGTTGTCCTTGAATCACAGGAACAATTGAATCCTAGAATAAAGGAATGCTTGCCAAATATAGGGAACAGTTTACATGAGAACCATGGACTTGCAATTCAGCCTGTGACATGAAGAAACSAGCTGCAGTTCACCACCTTCTAGTTCCATGACTGTCTTGTCCCCTCATGAGATGAGTGAGTTGGACAATCTTTGCTTCCCTCTCAAAAGTGAAGAACAGTCAATCTGCCTTCACAGTCAGGAAAAGATATTCCTCTCCCTCCTTTTCCACCTTCAGGTGCCACTAAGGGAGCTTTGGTGTTTTCTGAGCCAGACTTAGTCAACTTTCCTATGTTGTAACCTCTGCATAATATAGTCACTCTCCAAGAGCTCATCTGTAAATATACCAGGCCTAAGCTACAGAAAGAGTACACAACTACCATAGAATAAGATATTAAAACTCATATCTGATTAYTTTAGAATTAAAGCTACTGGTGCTCTTTGCAGTATTGTATAAAGAATTAAGTGCACACAAACACATTCACCTGCTATGAGATAAGCAGAACAGACACTTTACCCATGAGGAGAAGCTGCCACATATGTATTAAATTGGACTTTGATACTGCAGGCAACACCCTTCTGCAACTGGCCAACAAACCGTGAACTGCCCACAAGCAAAGCAGCCCTGTAGAYATACACAGGGCTCCTCCACCGGAGCTGGCAGATTGCAGAGGCAGTAGATCCAAAAGAAGCCTGGAGGGAACTGCACAAGGGATACAGCAGCATTAACAATACACCGAAACAACTAACACGGAGAAAAAGAAAAGAAGAAAATAGCCAGCCGAAAACTGATAGAGATCTTTAATTTAAAAACCGAGTAAGTTTATTCATTGAAAGAGTGCAACAAAATACCCCGGGGATAGTGCATTCCACTCCAACAATTAAAATTGCATTAAAAAGCAGATAGGAAGGTCTGAGTCTTAAAAAGAACTAGCATAAAAGCTAGTGCTTTTCTTTGCTTCAATGTATTTATCTCTGGGTGACAGAGATAGTCACTGATTAATTTTTTAGGTACTTAATTTACAACTTCATTGCTTCTATCGGCAAGTCATTCTGTTCCTTACAGATGCTAGTTTAGGACTGGAGAACCACAATCCACAGGCACTTGAGAGGGCAGTTTTGAAAGAATGGGGATGTTGGGCTCAGTCACTACTTACTGCTGGGAGGAGACCCAGTTGGGAGCTGCTAGATATTCTAAGCAAATATTRCCCCCAATTGTTTCACTCTAAGATCTGAGATACGAGAAAATGTTCAGTACCACTCATAAATGCAGATTCTTCTGCAGCTGAGGGGATGCAAACAGGCAAAAGGAGAACACAGGACTACAGCAAGCTGTAGGTGTTGCCTGAGGGAGCTGCCAGTTCCTGACCACTGAACCAATTTTTGCTGTAGGTGATTACCTTGAAAAAGTTGCAGGTAGGTATTCTCATTCATACTTTYTACTGCATTTCAGTTGAGCTTTACAAGCCCAACAGGATTTATCACATAGCAATTATGTGTATTTTGCTAACACTCTGCCCAATGATTTCAAAATACTTTTATGAACATCACTCCTACAGCTTAAGCCAAGCTTCACCAAAAGCTTAAACCATTTAAGCTTAACCAAGCTTAAAATTCTGACATACAGGGATTTTAAAGGAAACAGAGTAAACTCTGCAACAAAATGCTAATAGAGTTCATCTCCTGAGTCCCAGTCCTGAACTTAAGCTGCTTTTCCTTTTAAACTTTTCTCCTCCCGTTTATTTATTACAGCAAGAAGGACTACATTTATTCTGCACAAGTTTATTAACCCAAATACAGACAAGTGACTTCCAATATTACACCGTTTTCCATTCCATATGGAGATTGCCTGTCCAGTCCATGCCAGTACGATCTCTCGGTCTCAGCTGACTGTGTTTGGTTTATGTCTTTTGGCTTTGCTGTTCTCATGATGACTRTCTTCAGACAGTGCTTGGCCCTTTCCATTTGTCCCAGATTCCTCTGGAAATTTCTGACCCTCAGCCAACACCTGTCGAATAGTCATGTTGATGCGGGAGGACTGCAGATACTTGGCACACACTTGCCAATCCTCATCAGAGCTGTGCTCAATGACTGAGCCAACAGGAAGGTCAGAAGGAAGAGCTTGGTCGAGGCACGAAGGCAGAGCTGTCCCCTCAGGGTTGGGGAGGACCCGTGGGACAGCATGGTACAGCAGGCGGCTGAAGCCAGACATCACCATGATATCTCCACTGTGCATGAACATTGCTGTCGGGGCCTCCTCCCGCTTCAGGCCCCCAAGCAAAAATATTGAGGATTGTCCAAAACTACAGATGGTGTAAGGATGGAGAGAGAAAACAATTTCAGGTAGGGAACAATTTTCTGTACAGTAAGAAAACATCGGTAGTTAAATTCCTTTATAAAAAGTATTCCAAGTAATCACAAAAACCAGATGGACTCCTAAGAACCAACTTTTCAGTGGCAACATGGAAAACAGACTAAGAGATCTGGTTCAAGATAGGTACAGCGTGAGCAATTGCCCTGACAGGTTTGAAGCTCTGCTGAGGTACTTTTTTAGTACCCAACCAACCCTCTGCTACTTTAGAACAGAACTGTGTAGTGCACTCCAGGCACTACATCCATGCTATTCAAGCAACCCTTAAGGAAAACCTATGTCTTTGACCTACAGCCTTCTGCTGTTCAAATCTTCTGAGAGTGAAGATTATATACTCAATTAGCAAATTATATTATACTGCCTACCTATAACCATATGCAACCCTARAAAAAAGCCACCAATCTTTCGATAGCACTCAAGTGTGCTTTCCTTCACTCACCTGAATGACAACAGGGGCCGAGAATGGTCTAGTTCAGACTCATCCACATGAATTCCCAGTGAAGAATCAAAATGATAGTAGTTCAAGATACCTGCTTGGGCTTGGAAACCCCGGAAACCACAGGCTGCAGCTACTTGTTCTGATAGGAATGCAAGGTCTGAGGGGAAAGGAGTGTGGTGATTTGCTGAGTACTTCTGGAAAGAGGAGAGGGGGGAGAAAAAAAAAAAAAAAGAAAGCCACACCCAACACATCAGAGCAGCAAATACACTTGGAAACAAACACTGAAAAACAACTCAAAAGTCTGGCTGATAGTCATGGAGRAGGACATCACATTTGCCTAGAAAATGACTACAACACAGGCAGAACCACAGCAAGTTTACCTCCTACCATTAAGTTCATGGCCTATGCTAAGACTGCCAGAAATTCAATTAAYTGTGGAGTTAATCATTATATCTAGACGCTAAACTTGAAATCAGTAAGATTAGTACCAACACCCTCAGGATCTTCTCAGTSACAGCCTGAAGCTGCCAATGGAAAGACAGTTCTGTAGCTTATCAACAGAACTCCAAAACAAGCATCCTTGTTCCTTCATGAATAAGAAACAGGAAACAATTGAAAACCTCATTCTTCTCTCTCCTATGAGTGATCCTGAGAGGACTGGGAGAGACTAACCAAAGTTTTACTAAGGTCATCCAGTMACAGGTTGATCTGGTAAATAAAAGGCTGCAAGCAATTTTTATTATCTGCAATGAATAGATAAGGTGCATATTCACTCTGCCAGTCTTTATCAGCCTCCATCTGTCCCAGTCTGATGAAAAMAAGTTTATTTTGATCAAGATCCTCAAAACAGCTGTTAGTTGGTAAGAATGCACTATACTGGTTCAGACTCATTTAAGTTCAAAATCACATGAGCAGCAATCTCTTCTTGCTCCTGCTCACCCCTCCAAAGAAGAGTAGTCTCCCAAAAGTCATGGTCAGCTTAAGTAGTTAACAATGCTTTTGTAATAATCCCTTTTGGTATGCCCCCTTACTCTGAAATAGTTACAGGTCTAGAGGTGAGTGTATGCTATCATGTTAATTTTCAAAGGAAAGAGTGTGCCAATGGACTTTTGCTGTTAAACTCCTCACAGTAAACCAATACAAATTTAAATGTTCTTAAATGCACAGTTTGTTACTGCCTTTCCTCAAGACTGTCTTGTAGGATCATTATTATTTTATTCTGTTTGCCATTCTGAGTGCTTATGGCTAAGAAAACTGGAGAAGAATTGAATCTCAATACCTTAGTATCCCAGTTATAATGGTAACCAAGGGTCACCCAGCGCAGTTTCTCCAATAAGCTCCTGGGCTCCCATTTATTGGAACCTTTCCTTCTACAAAGATAAAACATAAAGAAAAATAGGRTGTGTGTTAATTTCTGAGGGGTCTTCTGGTAGTGCAGCATACAGTAACGAGATTCACTCATCTACATGACAGCCTATTAAAACCAGTCAATGCTATTAAAACCAATCAATGCTAAACATTTATTTTCAGTGCCAATACTTTCCTCCTCCAAAGACCTTGAAAATGTAGTTCATGCAATGTGTGCAAGCCATGGGGCCTATTGTCAATTGTTATAATTTTGAAAGCTTGTATTTTCAACATGGTACCTAAGAGATTATCGGATGGAATCAACTCAATGAGCTGTGCAGATTTAGAAATTAGAATTAAATGGGTCCTATTTGAGCACCTGAAAGTGAAAAGCCAGAATCTGAAGATCTGAAAGCTGCAAATGCAAGGAAAAAATATTCTAGGCACTTAATAGAAWATTACAAGAAAGGAAAATTAATTGCCTGATAGTGAAGCATATCCTGCTGCCTAATATTGCAAAGTATGGTTAGTTGTGGTACTTTGATAGGAAGTCTCTAGGACAGACTGACTTGAAATTYAGTTAAAAGCAAGACTGCTCTAGCTATGGCCATGGCATCAAGAAGTCTAGACTGCAGATGTTCCCTTATCCAGACTGCTATGCAGGACAAAGAACTTTCTTCTCACATGACAGCCTTAAAGTAGAGGGACTGAGTTRTCTGAAGCCACACACCAACTTATTATTCCTACTTGAAGGTGATGAAAGCAGGCAGAGGCTTCAAGGAGGGGCTTTTAGCATGGACTATGGAACAGTCCTCCAAAAGTTACAAATTATAAGGAACTACATCAGATAGAAATATTTTAGTGGCAAGTACATAAAGGATGGTACATATCTATGTTCTAGCCTACTCATTCCAGCAATTTCAGCTTATTTTTCCCAAGCCAAGTCACCTGTTATCGCAAAGAAAGAAAAAGAGAGAAAAGGGAAACAAACAGTACCACCCGATAGTTGGGTGTCGTTTATAGCCTCATTAGTTCAGCATGCCATTTTTAATTAATGAAGATTCATATTTGTGCTGCTATGGTCAAGTCTGAGCCAAACATCTGCGTTTAATATGCATTTCTACCTGGATATGCAGCTTGTTCTAGCCCTTCAACAATGCCATACTGATAGCTGCTAAGATAAACCAGGAGAAGGAGTAAAAGGCCAGTTTCTTTACCTTTAGTAATTTTTCTTAGCTCACTGACTATTGAAAGGAGTCTTTCCAGTTTCCATCTGTCACAGAATAACAGCAATTGCAATTACTATAAACACCAACACAGTAACTATCAAATACATGCTGCTTGGAATAATTTGTGTATCTTATAAGCAGGTAACACAGCATTTAGAAAAGGGAGAGCCCACAACTTGTTCCTGTACATCTTTCAATTGACAAAGGACAATGTTMATAATTAAACATTTTTAGCATGTGCCTTTTGAAAGTGCCCTTCTTTCGCTACAGTGCTAGAGTGTCTGCAAAACAGCAGGAACCCAAATGTGTGTGGGAAGTCCTTATTCCCAGAACTTGGTATTTTGCATGTTATTTCATGTGTGATTGCTAAGAAGGGGAAGGTCTGAGTTCTGCGTTTGGAAAGAATGAGGTCCAACAAGAAAGCATGGAAAAGGTCTGGTATAACTATATTAGAACAAGACAGGGCAGCATGGGAGCTTTGGTCTGAAGATCCCTTGTTTCTTCATTCACTGGTAATAACTGCATCTATGAAACCCCTCCAGCCTTTTCCTTATACACAAGGATGGACATATCTATATATCTCCCTTGCAGAAATTCTCTATCCCCTTTTATGCTTTCAGCTGTCGCCAGCAACAGAGAAAATACCCAAAGTCYACTTTTGTGATGAAAGCATAGCATATATGTCTAGGAGCTGTCCTACCTTGTGATTCCTGCATCTTGAAAAGAGCATATAAACCAAGCACATGCATRCATCATCCTGATGGCTTTAAAAAGCATTAAAGTTGTCACCCATTGAGAAGTAAACCTCTTTTTAGTTAAGTACTGTTTCTCACYTCCCTGAGAGGCTTTCAGTCTAGATACTAGAGAGCTGGCTAGTTTGATCTGCTGCCCCTAGGTATAAGCAAAAATACAGCAGTTTGCTCACTTGAAGACTCAGGCAAGTGCTTAATAAAACTGCCAGTGTTACTGCCAACCATCACTCTTCTAAACACTGTTTTCAACTGAACTGGATTCAGCTGCAAATTAACCTCTGTTCTGATCATTCTCTGCACGCAGGAGGTCCTGCTGGGAGAGGTCTGACAAGCTGCCTTTTTTCAGCCATTGGGCACAATTCACAATCCTTTCAAAGAAGAGTTTTTCATCCTTGATAGAACATGAAAATGGTGTCTACCATTTCTGTATTTTTGTAACTAAATTTTTGTAACTAATTCTGACTGAGACTGGAAAACACAAGTGAGGCCATAACTTCTCTCCAGGGTTCAAATACTTAGAAGTCTGAATCTTGCTTTTGCCATTCAGTATTTTGTAGATGTAAAAGTTTTTTTGAAGAAAAGTCTCAGCATGTCAATCTCGCTAAAAAAGACTAAGAGAAGMTGAGCATTATATGGAACGCTGGTCGCACCATCACATGAAACAGTCATTATGAAAAATGAGCAGTGAAATCAGTAAGATAATGATAAATATCCAAAGAGCTAAATGGTTATGTACTGTAAACAGTCTGTCTTATACATATTTTCACAGCTGACTTTATTAAAGTTCAAGCTTTAAAAGAATTTTTCTTTTTTAAAACTTTCTAWTTGACTTAAAAACTGGGACAAATTCTCCATTAAATTCCAAATCCGGTAGAGGAAAGGCAGCTGCATCAGCCACAAAATTCTAAACCTGTGGGAATYTTTCAGATTAAACAGGATTGCCATTAAAATGGTACATTTACTTCAATGTCATGCTGAATTAAGAAGAACCACAAACAAAACAAACCAAAAKAAATATTTCAGAAAATAAGAACATAGAAACTGGTAGATTGAAAAGWTCAAAAGAGTATAGCCAACAGCTTTTCAATCACAGTGTGCTGGGTCTAAGAGCTGACTGGGAAGAAGTGCTACCATTAGTTGGGAGTTTTGGAAAGGATCCCTTTTACCTCAGGAAAACTGAGGCCTAGAGGGACTTCATAGTTTCATTTGTAGCTGATCTTAGCAAGCTTCCAAGCACCACATCAGCCAGGGTCACTATTTAACATTTCACTGATGGCTTTAGAACAATATGCTACTAGAAAATCCCAGAGCATGAAAAGACASCATTAACAAAGATGCACATGAAGCCATGGAATATCCATCTTTAACTTGAGGTGTCTGACACCATCTGTGTTTAGCCAGCATGCACACATCTTCTTCAGCTTCTAAGTCCCGCTCAATTTTCTCAGACCTTCTCAGAAGTGAGATCTGGCTCCACTAGTTTTGACCACAATTAGGTTATGGTAGACTTACTTCAGCTGCTCCTTGCTCTGTCCCCACAGGTCAATGGTCTTCTCAGGAGCCATGTGCAGGTCCAGGTTGCAGACATTGGGTTTCTCAGGGTATAGCTTGAGACACTGCTTCACCCAGTGACGCTGGCAGCCCGGAAGGAAAGGGTTGGGTATGAAAATAAACCCTGACCAAAAAGAAAAAATAAGAGGATGGAGAGAAAGTATGATTAGGTGTTTCCCTGTTTTTTTTTCTAGAGCAAAAGACAGGAGTCAGAGGTAGTGAAAAAAACACCTTAGACATACAATCATTGACTGTGCATATAAGCTGATGAAATCTATTATAGTTAAAAATTACTAGTTTTTTTCAGAGAAAACAAATGGTGGTGCAAGGTAGAAGGCAGACAGGACAGCCAACACTGGTCCAAATAAAAAATTGCAATAAAGGACAGATCYATGTAAGGCATACTAATTAAAGAAGATAAAGGAGTAAGAACATGGAAATCCAATTGCTTTGGAGTAAATTTAATTTTTTGAATTATGCAGCATGATTTTTCTCATAAGCCCTACAAAGTTAAAGTAATTCTGRCCTAGTTTTTCTAGACTTCAAACTAACTTCATCCCTGTCTCTGAAATCATACTATCTTCCTATTGCTACTTCAGAAAGTAGTCCCTGGACTGAGCAAGTGTCTAGTAATGTGAAATGTCCTCTCCTTTGCTTCATGCTTACTTCCAGAACAGTCTGGTTGTATCCATAGTTGCATTTTGRTATGGCGACACTAAGAAAGGGACATGAAAGTAAAATTATATCCCAAACCACTTGCTGTAGACTGCAAATACTTTGCAAGCATTGTTAATTAACAAAACAAAATAAACATGCAGCTATTCTGCACATTCATTTAGCCAGGCACCTCAGGCAGGGTTCAAGCAGCAGCCCAAATGAGAGATGCTATTACTCTGTACTCTACCTACTCTGAGAATCAAGTCACTCTCTCAAAGACTGCCAATTCAGTAAGACTCACCAACAAAAAATCCACATGTGAAGAGCGATAAGGGTATAGGAGGAACAAAGGAAAGGGAGGTTTTTAGGTTTTGGCTTACTGTGTCTTTTTGAACTTCTCAGATCAAGTTAACAGAGACAAAAATAGATGAAAAAAGAAGCAGCAAAACTAGGAAGTCTCAGTAGGACGCAAACTTGCCTTGTGGCCTTATGAAAGTGGTAATAAAACCACAAAAAGAGCGACCTGCTAGTACATCTCACAGACTCAAGATTAACATAACTGCTTAAAAAAAGCCTTCCATGTATTAATAACACATGGTCATTCACTTCACTCCCCCCACTTTCAGACTACAGTAGCCTTCTGATAGGTTTGTCTACAATAAGTTTCTTTGCCAAAAGCATTACATTTACTTTCYATTGGCTTCTGCATAGAACAGAATAATATTGCCTTTCTTGTCTACAGTTTTTGATGTGGGGTTCTTGAAGCACTTTATTACATTCATGAAATTACACTCTACTATGCGTGTATTATCCTCAGGTACTAATGAAGGAACTGAAGCCTGGAGGGCTAGATACAAGCAGAGATGAGAACAAGAATCCAGATTTTATGGCTTTTATATCTCAAGCTTAGAACATGTTCATGTCTCTCCACACATTTCGTTGACCTAGGTAATCCTAAGAATCTAGATTGACTAGATTACAAAAGCAGTAACAACTAAAAAGTGGGCTACTACTATTACGTAGAAACTGAATTTCTAACAGTTGCAGAGTTTTACTACAAAATTCTATGCAAACAAGACTAATGGTGCTAGAAATCAGTGACTTGCACACATAGGAGGGAGATGAGTAAGAAATAAGAAACATAATTTCTGTAGCAATCTTTCTGAACTGAGTGAAAAACTGCACAGACAAACTTTGAGGACGACATAATTTAACTTCTTGGCCTTGAAATATGTGGGGGGAAAGGTGAAAATAATTATTCTTTGCAAATCTGTACACTAAAGAAAACTGCTTTGAGGAAGCAGATACCATTCTCTTACTGCAGCATTATCTTGCTACATACTAGGAATCAATTTGCACCTAATGAAAGTGGTCTCCAACCTCACTCAAAGGAAGGATAAAACATGCAGATGTCTAAAAATAAGAGAAACCTCTCATAAAAAAGAAAGTGTGTCRGTTACAAAGACCAAAGACTTCATCACCTGCTTCTCACAGAACTCAGGACACCATAATAGAAATTCACCCACTTTCCTTAGTCTTTTATTTCATTGCTCACTGTGGGACAAAAACAAACTATTCCCTTTCCATTTGCTCMTAGGCAACCAAAAGAAATTCTTACTTCACTTAGAAGGCTATTGGACAGCTGGTTACACATCTCTTAATGTTTTAGGATGTCCAGATAAAGGTAGCTGGAAAATGATAAAATATTATTCTCATCAAGTCCACACATGACTTGATTCTAAACAGAACAGATAATTTGTAAATGTATTGGCATTTTATTTTAGTAAAAGGTTTCCTTTGCCAAAGCARAAGAACAATCCAGTTAAGTGGAACACCTGTGATTTCCCACACCCCTCTTCAGGACACATGGTGTATGGAAACAGACAGCATGGAAGGCAAATTTTGTCCAACCAGCCTTACTGCCTGGTACAGTATAATGTCCAGACAAGGKGAAAATAGGGGATGCTATTTACCTTGGATTTAGAAAAGTTTCCCACTTGGTCTCCTGCAGCATCATTAGAGCCAGACTGGGGGCCCATGAATTTTTTTTGCAAATTAACAGGGTAAGCAAAAGGTGGCTGGATCACCAGGCTAAAGGAACAGTGATTTGATGATTCAAAGTCTAAYCACTGGCTGTTATGAGCTGCATTCCTTGATCCTGGATCAAAGACCAATAACTACATCTACATCAACAACCTGGATGATGGGATGTTCATCCTCATTTCACTTACAGATTACACTAGATTRGGGCAGTAGTGGATATGCTGGAGGCTTCTGCTGCCACTGAAAGGGGACTTTGACAAATGAAGGAACAGGCTAATGAGAACCTCAGGAAGTTCAGCAGTGGTAATTCTGGGGCATGCAACCCCATGGCCCAAGAGCAACTCCAAACCAAGACCAGGCTGCCTTGAGGACAAATGGTGTGAGCAGCATTTTGAGCCCTCACCAGTGAGGGCTGGTGACACATCCTGGTATTGGTGAGCCCTACCTACAGGCATGAGAGAGGAGGGGAGCCAGATTCTTCTCAGATATGCATAACAAGATTATGAGGCAACAGTCTCAAATTACAGTAAGACAAATTTTTATTAGATGTGAGGTTTAAGAAAAAAAAGTGGTCAAACATTGGTACAGGTGCCCGGAGAGGATGTGTAATCTCTATCCTTAGAGACTTCCAGAATTTACCCATACAAAGCTCTCAGCATTCTGGTCTAACTTGCAGCTTCATCCTGCTTTAAACAGGGTGTTGGCCTAGACCTCTGTAGGTGCCTTCCAACCTAATATTTCTCTGTGACTCTACCAGGCAAACTGAAAACCTAAACCACATTTCCATTTCTGAAATAAACTTGCCTGATGAAAGTACTCTGTGTATTTAATAAGCCAGAAGGCTTTTACTCACTTACTATGCTCACTGTCCTACACTGACAAGTAGATGCCACACTTCAATTCTGAAACTACTGCATTTCAGCCAAATACATATAGTGCATGATATATATTAAGGAAAAATAGATTCTACAAAAATAAAATCTTTGCCAAAGGCAATAGGAATCCATTCTYGTGAGCTATGGTCTGGTTGATCTCACTGTGAAATAACTGGTCCTTCTCACCTTCATATACATTGCTGCATCCCACCCACTAGCTGATTTGCTCATYGTCCTGCACTTACAAAAACATTAAATTACACTTAGGCAAACCAAAATAGCTTTTTCAGGCAGAAATATAAGATTGAAGATGCATGAATTCAAAGCAACAAGGTTGTGTATCATTTTTCTTGAAATCAGAAGCACCCACCTGGGTACCCACTGAGGCCATAGGCCTTCCACTGGCTAACTGGCTGTAATCCTGCTCTGTAGGCATCTTGATCACTGACTGAAGAAATACTGAGCTGTGATCTCACCACCTGGCAAAAGAAAACAGATCTGGTTTAAAAMAAAGTAATAAACACAAAACTTATCCAAAAATAGCACCTATAAGGAAGAGTGCTACCACATTTGAAGGTAACTCTTGTAAAAATGCTAACCATAAAACTACCGTCTGAACAGCTGTGACAAGGGCAGAGCAAACAGAGCCAGTACATATTCAACGTAAGAATCAAAAGATCTACAGGTTTTACTTCAGGATATGGAGAGATGTTCCCCCCTCAAAAAAAATCCCTCAACAATATATACTGAAGAGAAAAAAAATCATCATTATTTGTCCATTTCCACAGTACAGCCGCATCATTATAAAACATTCTGGTAATTATAAACCTCCATTAGAGAGCTATATACTCATAACAATACTTTCAAAGATGATTCCAAATATAAGTTGCTCATGATCCTATAGGGAAGATGACTATTCTCATCTCTAATTTACAGAAGGATAAACAGTAAAGCAATGAAGCAGCTGAAGCTGTCAGATGTGAAGGACTGCAGAAACCCTGTCAATTCTGAATACCACCCTGCCACTTCTGTTCCCAACAGCAGGATCAACAGTTCAAGGTTTGACAACATATATTTTCTTGGCATACTCTCTTGGGTTGCAATAACACATGTATTTAAGCCAACATTTGCTGAAAAACCCCACCAGACTCATTCTACTGYGTTCCCACTCTCTTCGTCCCTTAGGACAGGAAACTGTCTTGAGGAGGGCTGGGTAGAGGCAGGTTGGTTTTATTCTGGCTTAGGTCCCCAGTCCAGCTCTCCATGTAGTAGTGGAAAAGCACAGGTTCATGTAAGGAGATGGTCACGCACAACTGGAATAAACAGGCACAAACTGCAAGACTCTGTCTATGACAACTTAAAGTGTATACTAAATTAAGGCTTTTACACACAGCCTCTGTAGTGGTGCATGTGTAAATCGGTCTCTCTGCATGTGACTGTTAACAGCTCTGGTTAACGTTTTCTGAGCAACAGGACTAAATTATATACACAGAATTTCTAAGAAATTCTGAACTACAGCTGGAAAGCACCTTCTAGCAATGTAGTCAGTTTTACCCATTGTTCAGCTCTCTGTCAAAAGCAGCTTTGTGAGTGCCAGCCGTGACGAGCTTACTTCACAGTCCTGTCCACAGAGTGTCCCCAGGAAGGCTCATCCTCTAAGACTGCCACCTCAAACTGCTTTCACACCAGCTGTTTCCTGGGCTTCTGGAAAACCGGAGATGCTTCTATGCTGAAGAATTACATGTGCTGAATCAGTTAAATAAGCCCGGTAACAGGGCAGATGGGGTATGTCACACTTCACTGAAAAGCTCAATTGCTTGAAGCAGTTTTCTGAGAAAAAAGAGGCAATATTATCTGGGCCAATCTGCTTGGCCTGAAGCTCTTAAAAGAGAAAAGCCAGATGTTTTTAACCTGGGGGAAAGAGGAGTAAAATATGTGTTCACTAGTAAACTATCACCTGATCTTAGAAGGTAACAGGCACAAAAAGAATATCAAAAGAGAAGACAGATCCTTGTGATGTTCTCAAATACTTTGAATTTGTCCAAAGAGCCATAATCCTGTAATCCTTTATCAAACACAGGACAGCTGTGAAAGAAAGGCTGAAATGTTAACAACTTCCTTGGTTAATTCTAATGCCTCTAACAATTTCATTTGGGCTAGGTTTTGTGATCCATTAGCAACAGCAAAATTATAGTCCCAAAAAAAAATAAGTAACAGTACACTAAAACGCAAAGACTAAGCATTAGAACTATGAGAAATTGGGCAAAGTTGCATTTTAACTATATTTCCCGCTCCTTTTTTTGACTTCGGTTCGTAAGTAGAAAATCCCTGGTTAACAACACTTCAGCAGACATCTGGCATCCTTTTGGGAGCTGACAAAACAGAAGACAAGTTTTAAGGATCATTTCTTCATCACTTAAGACAATGTAAACTAGTATGATGGCTACTACTTTCAATTGTGCTGATGTGTCCCCGAACTCACTTCAAGAGCTGAACTCACCCTGATGACCAAGCCAAGGATTAATTATACAGGAGCAAGAAAGAATAAATGTGACCAGGGCAAAGACAGCACAGCAAGGGAAAGCTGATCCCAGCTCACCCAGGTATTTCAGTGCTAAGACAAGGGCAGGCCCAGGAAACAGTGTCAGCTCCGGGAGTGAAACTTGGGTTTCTTCTGTCTATAGGTTCCACTGCTTAAGTAATGCGTGGCTCTATTAGAGATTCTGGAGAACCCCTATTGCAGTGTAGGGAGTTAGTTAAACATTATGAAAGCAAACATAAGCCAAAGTAGTAAATCTATCTGTGAGTAGGCATCACGCTGGTCAGGGGCGGCTGCACGGCACTCGGTGCCCTGGGACAGCGTCCGTGGCCCAGGGGGATCCTGGGCGAGCCCAGCTTTGAGKCCCGCGGGCAGCGGAGCTCCGGGCCCTTCCCAGCTGCCCCTCTCGAGTCACACACTCATCACAGGGACTCCTAAAAGGCTCAGCGCTCGACTGCAGACTCCTCTAGCCAGAGACGGAGCGGCACTAGGATTTCGACGTCGGACAGGAAGGGAAACAGCCGGTGGAGAGAACGAGCTACAGCGACACCGCCACAACCCCGAGCTGAGACACTGAGCAGAGGGCGGGACGCGCTTCGAGCTGCTCGTCGCGGGGCAAGGGAAGGAGCAGCCCGGCATTACCTGGCCCCCCGGCGCGGAGAAGTCCACCACGCCCCGCAGGTCGGAAGCGTCGCGCTGCCGGTAGAAGCGAAAGAGCCGGCGRAACGCATCCTCCCCGCCCTCACGGGTCAGGGCCGCCGCCGCCATTTCGGGCCGGCCGAGGCGGGGCAGCCCCTCCCTCTGTCCGTCCCTCCCCGCCGCCGCAATCCCGACATGGCGGCGGCCAAGGCGGTGCGGGCTGCCGGGCGCCGCTCCCGACGGCTCTTCGACATCTTCGTGGCTGAGATTCCCTGGACGGTATCGAGCAGTGAGTCTRCGCCCCCTCTTCCCATCCCTCACCGCTGCTGGGGTGGCGGGGTTGGGCGGCCCCGCCGCGTGTGCCGGCACAGGTCGGGGGGTCGGGTCAGGGCGGCGCGGCTGCGCGGAGGCGCCGGGCCCGGGTAACCGGSTGCGTTTCCCCACAGAGGAGCTGAAGGAGTACTTCTCCCAGTTCGGGTCGGTGCAGAGGTGCCAGCTGCCGTTCGTGAGTACCCCCGCGTCCTCCGGGCCGCACTTCGTGTCTTCTCAGCGAAGCGGGGAAGAGCCGCCGGCTGGTCCTGCGGCTCAGGCCTTGCTCTCAAGCAGCTTCCCGGCGCTGCAGTCAGGAAGCCTCATCTTATATTCTWGTGAGGTTTTCAGTACTCTCTACCTTTAGCTCCTTCTCCCAATTGTCACCACTTGTCTGCCTCTGTTAGGCCTCACTGAAGCTTAGTGGTTTCCGCCGGCTTTCAAGGAGCTTTACAGAGCACGCCCTTCATATACTGTTGATGCAGCCATTTCTGAATAATTAATCTAAAAGCGCTTTGAGCTCCTCTGTTATCGTGTTACCATTCTTATGACAGAGAATCAAGTTTTAATGTGCCTGGTCTCGCTGGCCGAATCTACTGTCTTTTCCTGCTGTGGATTCAGACCCCATCCAGAGTGCAGTGCTAACACAAAACCCATAACCTCAGCAGAGTCCTCCCAAACTGCCAATGCCTCTGCCGTTTAGGCTGTTTATCCTCTGAGTATGTAGGTCAGGGATCATAATATCGAGTGCAGTTTCTTAGTGATGAACAGTCCAAAAAAGCATTCCTTTGTGGGCAAGTTGCAGAGCATCGCTGGAAGTGACGTTCTCCTGTCCGCTTGCGTTTCTCCATGTGAAGTAMTGGTCTGTTAAATTAAGCTTGGTGTGTAGTGAAGTTCAGTTAGAGAGCTGATGGTTCACTCTCAGTTGAGGGTTAGTTTGGAAATGGGGAAAGATACGTTGAAACAGGCCGGTTGTTTTGAACATTTTAAGATTAGGCACCTGCCTGTCATGCTGTTTTTCAGCAGGCCCAGGACAGACTACATTGTTTTKTTGCAAAATCTGGTAGCTTACCACAAACTCGCCTCCATCACCGATCCAAGTGATGCATGCGTGTATGTTTAGATTCAGTGATTACTTAAGGAGTTTCTTGAATGCTTAAAACTGCCAGAGGTACAAAAATCATCAGTGTAGGACAGCCTAATTTAGACATCACTGTGAYACTGAAAGCAGGCAGTACATTGCAGGCAAAAAACTTCACTGGTGGTTTGGAAGTACTCCCAGTTATGCCTCATGATCAGAGTGGCTGAGCTGTTGTGAGCTTTGAGGGGATCGGAACAGGGATGGAAGGCACTTAGATACACCTAGCTGTTCCTCATTATCTTTATTGACCACTATCTTTTCTGACTGGCAAATCATATCTAAAAGTAATTTTCTTTTCAGTGCAGTTAGTGCTTKTCATTCTGAATTGCACCTTGCTTTCTTAGTCTCTTAAGCAGCTACTTTATCTTAAATGCTTTTCAAGTACTGTGGTCCTTTAAATGTCAGTACTGTTGTGACTGGTTTATTAGTAAGTAAGTACTGCAGTCTGAAACTGCAGCATTACTGAAGCATTATTCTAGGCTTCAACTGTAGCCTAAATTCATGATTTAATTATTGCAAGATTGAAATTGACAGAGATGTAGAACAGCCTTTGGTAGCCCSCACATGCTGTCACTGACAGCAAGTGTCTTAGTGTGAAAAAGGCTYGGAAACAGCAAGTGTGCCAATTCCTCTGATAGTAATCTGAATCTTTAAATTCAGTATCTGTAGAAAGTTTTTAACAGCCTGTGTGAATATTTTATGTAGTAACTGCATTTTTTTTTAACTGACAATTAGGATAGAGATACAGGTTTTCACAAACGTTACTGCTGGATTAAATTCTCCGCTCCAGAATATGTTCAGAATGTGTTACAGAAGGACTCCCACGTACTTGAAGGTTCCAAGGTAATGTGCTAATTCCTTTAAGGAAGTAATGTGATGAGTTGACTCTAATTCTGCTTTTGATTGGATACAGTAACATGAAAAGATTACCATATTCTTTCAAGATATGGTTAGGGATTTTGTCACTCAGCRTGCTTTTAACGTTTTTTAAATCATTACCATTTCTGTTTATTTCCTCATTTCAGTCCAAGTTGTTAGGGGACACGATCATAGCGATACTAGAGAGAACAGAGTCAAGAGACCAAAAACTCCTGCTATACTCAAGRAATGTGACTGCAGTAAAACTGGGATTTACTATGCATCTATTTTGCAATTTGTAATATGTGTTTCTGTAGCTGGATCCAACACCTGATCTGGATCCTGAGTGGCAGGGTGAACATGATAAAGAAAGTGATGCTAAGCTTTGAACTTCAGTGAAATTTCTTTTTCTTCAGCTGTCATTTCATACRGAGAAATCAGTTGCTTGCTTTCATGCGTTCAAGATAACTTTGTTTTATTGTAGGGTTTTTTTCTCTCCATCTTTAACATTTTAAATGTTAGTAAAGGAAAAAGTACAGCACTTTGGCAATCTCAGTGTATTAGTGTATGGTACTGAGACAGTGTAATGGTCAAATACACGTACAGAAGTGTCTGTCATTGACTGGTCATCTAGAGCCAGACAAGTGTATCCTCAGCTTCACTCCAGCATAGAAACAGCAAAGCCATCCCGCTCACTTTCCAAATACTTAGTAGCCAGTGGTGTTGACAAATCAGGAATAAAGAACAGTGAGTCAATGGCTGCCCAAAGCCATTGATTTATTAWCAGCTCTCATGTCAAAATCAGAAACTTGGATCTGGTGTGTTCCTTAAATAGGGGATTTTCTTACAGACTTACATGTGCTTCAGCTGATATAACTATTCAGACTGAGTAATAGAGAGTGAAGCCATGAGCAAGAAGCAGGCTGCCATCAGTTACAGCCTTTGATTAATTAATAAGAATTCTTCAATATCTTTTTGACGAGTTTCTTATTTTGGGACTTGAATGCTAGGAGACAGTAAAAGTAAAATGAATCAGCAGGAGACTTCAGTGATGCAGCACTGTGATTGTGATAAAGTATTTAGTTTGACATGGTTCATATTWCTGCATAAATCATTGTTGGTTGGTGGTTACTTCAGTACGTATTCCCAGAAGCATCAACCTGTGAGTTCCAACTGTGGTACAAAAATGGAGGCAGATACTAAGACTCCTTTAACTGTGACAAGATAGGCAGTAGGCTGGTCCCTGTTAAAACTGTGCTGAACTAGGATGTTATCTGTATGCAATTATCAAATTAAGTACTAGAAATAGCCTAGTATTTAGTGTCAATTTCCTGGACATTTTTGCTGCTTTTTTTTCCTTGAAGCTGTGAGGATAGCGACACGCACTTAACTGCCTAGGCTTCAAAGACYGTATTCTCACAAGAGGTGCAAGCTAAGAGCTTTCTTTATAGTAAAATAAGAAGCAGAAGGCAATAAGTAGTTAATGTAATTTCTTAAAAAATGCAAGCTTCTCTGGAATACATGAGCACTTCTCCCACTTTGTTCTAGGGTGGGTTTAGATAGTTACTTTCTATTAGCTCCAGCTGAAAGCACAAGCTTTTAAGATGCATTTTCCTGGTACAACGAGCAATTGCTGTACATATATATTCAATTTTCCTGTCAGGAAAACCCTGGCTTGGGGCTCCTGAAACTGAATTGGTTATAAATGTATTTTCTGCCTTCCATATCAGTGTTCTGTATGATCAGAAATGAAAAATACCGAACCTTATTGCCTAACTAATTTCAGTAATTTTCATTGTTTTCAGCTCGCTCTCAAACAGCAGACCCGTAGAAGACGCAGTCAGAGAAAGAATCAAAGTGACTGAGCGGTGGAAGGAGGCTTTATTTCACTAAATGTAAAGAAACTAAAATAAAGATTACTGAAAACTATGAATGAGTACTTATTTCAAAACAGAATCCAGCTGTTTCCCCTCCCTTGTTCAAATAAACTGTATACCCACACTAAAACACTGAATCATAAACACCCCAGCATCTTTTAGAGCATAAGACAGTCATTATATACAGCAGGAAAGCTTTTAAGATCAAGTCAAAGCTTTAGCAACCTACAAAAACTAAAGCTGTAGGAAGGGGGCTACATTCTTACCCTGAGATGCTGGGAAATGGGGAATCAGCAAAGTCAGAGAACCTGCTAAAGAATAATTAWTTCCCTTATGAAATGTTTCGAAGTGGTCTCCATGTCTTCTCTCTCTCTCCTGGGGTAGCTGTCCTATGCAGAAATAGTGTGTGTAYATCTCCACACGGCCAGAGTTATGAACTGCTGTGTAACAACGCCATCCTCCTATACACCCAAAATTAAAAATCCTTTTGCATGAAGTCCAAGGTTGCAGTCCATTTCCCTACCTCTCAAGGAGCAAAGGCATTCAGTCCTTCCTCCTCTTTTTGCTCTCATGCTCGTGTTCTTTAGGGCGGCTGCTGTCTGATGGCCGTTTGGAACCACCATGTTGCTTAGCTTCTTCCAGAAAYTTGTCCAAACCAAATGGATCCTCCTCAAATTGAACTGGTCCATCTCTGCCCCTCCCTCTGGTGTTACGATCTGAGTTTGAAAACTCTTTGTCAGGAACAAACCTGCAGGAGAAGATGATACTCAGCTGACTAACTTCAGAGTACTAATTAAGAATATTTCTTAAATTTATTTTCGTACCTGTTGGTCTTTATCCGAGCCTCTAGATCATCACCATACATGTCCTTATCCACATTTTTACTTGGCCTGTAGATGTTTTGTGCCATATCCTTGCCACTTCTCCAAGGTTGGTCATAAACA